AACATGTTTTGTGACTTTTCACTTTTATGTTAACTGCTGCGGCCAGCTGGATATTTCCTTTGTTGTCTATGTACATGGTCATGAGGCCTCAGAATACCTACCAAGGATTAAGTATAATGAGTATAATTAGGCAAGAAAAGTTGTCTAATTTCTTTGTAAGCCAGAAGAGGTCACTTTTTTCCACTAAAAAGGGAAGTTTGTGCTTAAAATTATTATTGTTTCGTAAATCAACTCAAACCCATTGCATTTAGTTTCCCGACAAAAGAAGACGTAAAATAATCACAAGACTGTTTCACATACCAGGTACAATAACCCAGCCCCTACGTTATCTAGCTTGCTCCTTTTTATAGTTACTATTTTGGGGGGAAGGAAATAAAACTGAAATGTTTTTAACAGAGTAGATCTAGGTTTAAATACACAAATCTGCTACGTCTGCCGTGTCTCCGAGGCAATGGAGCAATAAAAGAATAAATCCAGTATATCCGTCAAACAGGCTGGAAAGTCAATTCTGGGGATTGCAAAGGAGGGCACCTCCTGAGGAAGAGGAAAAGAAGCATGAACAAGAGGCTTATCTGAAAGCTGACTGATGAAGGAGTAGGGCTGTGTAGTAGTTGTGTATGGGAGAAGGACACTCGTGAGAAACGACAATGAAAACACCCTCACAAGTATACTGAACCTCCAAGCACTTCAATAAGGCCACCCAGATTGCACCATAATGTTTACTGTGGAAAGGAAAAAATATTAATTGTAAAGAAATAAGAATCAAAACTAGACCCAATTATACTGGCTACCCATCAGCTAAACTGTGGACAGGGAAAGAATGATTTAGGATACTGCTTCACAATGCAAACACCAGTAGGAACATGACTGAGGGTCGGAGTTAACCTGCACTGGGAATAAATCTTTCTTGGCTGACTAAAATCTGGACAATTCAGATAATGTACTTAACAAATAGCAAGTGGCGTCTTCTGCTTCCTGAACGATCTGAATCAGAATCCGACAGGGATGCAACTACATGTAAACCTTTGTTCTTAAAGGAATTCCAAAGGAATAGCTCTAAACAGTTGGTTCTGACAGCTAATTTAGAAGCAAACTAACTGAGGTTACTGTGGGAAATATTTTATCAAATACTTAAGAGCACATGAAGTAATCAGAAGAGGGTGAAAAAACATATTGCTTTCCAGCATGTAAGTTGTCCTGCCTCTACTGGCATACCAGGTCCTCTAAGAGGAGACTATGCAAAGTGCTACAAAATGTATTACTGCCATTTCCAACAATACAAACAGGTTTTAACAACAGGTTGAAATTAGAAATCTTCTAATTTATCTGAACTCTTTGATCTATTATCCCTCTCTTGATTTCATGATATATTATATATGGAGGTTTGAAAAACTGTATTTGATACAGATTGGTGGTGTCAAGAAATATGGGATTATCCTGTAATTGTCACTTTATCTTTAAGATTTAGTGAAACTGATTGGCATTCTGTCAGACACTTCAGGTGAAAGTTATCCAGCAATCCCCTGGTGAAATCGGACTATTACCATGCAAACAAACCTTATTCTGACACATTTGTAAACCTTGGTACTTTATACAATATTTAACACCAAAGACGTTTTAAAGGAGCATTATTAAATATGATACAATTGCTAGTGTACAGAGAAAGGACAGAGATTACTTCACTTTCCAAGATAGGGCACCTGCACAAACATTAATTATCCCAATGCAAATACTACCTAGGAAAATGCTAGTTCATATGGTAATGCAAGTTAACACCTTTACTTAGAAGACACTCAGAGACATAAAACAAGAATATCAGAAAAAAAGGCGTTACTGATCTTAGAGACAGTATTTTGGGGGAGAGCAGCAGAAGACCAGACTGAAATGGGATAGAGAAATTGAGAAGTACAGAACTCTAGAAATAACGACGTCATATTTACAGTCTTTCTCTACTTCTGATCGAGTAAAACATTTAAGCGTAAGAACAGCCTCACTGAATTCAGTTTAAACACATGTTTAAGGTGAAGTGCTTTGTTACAATTTTACAGTTTTAGGTGAAATGGTCTGAAGTAAACAGGATGAAATTCAATAAGGACAAATACAAAGTACTCCACTTAGGAAGATACAATCTTTTGCACACATATAAAATGGAAAATGACTGCCCTAGGAAGGAGTACTGCAGAAAGGGATCTGGGGGTCATAGTGGACCACAAGCTAATTATGAGTCAACAGTGTAACACTGTTGCAAAAAAAGCAAACATAATTCTGGGCTGTATTAGCAGGAGTTGTGTAAGCAAGATACGAGAAGTAATTCTTCCACTCTACTCCACGCTGATTAGGCCTCAACTGGAGTATTGTGTCCAGTTCTGGGTGCCATATTTCAGGAAAGATGTGGACACATTAGAGAAAGTCCAGAGAAGAGCAACAAAAATGATTAGAGGTCTAGAAAACATGGCCTATGAGGGAGGATTTTAAAAATTGGGTTTGTTTAGTCTGGAAAAGAGAAGACTGAGAGGGGACATAACAGTTTTCAAGTACATAAAAGGTTGTTACAGGAAAAAGGAGAAAAATTGTTCTTGACCTCTGAGGATAGGACAAGAAGCAATGGGCTTAAATGGCAGCAAGGGAGGTTTAGGTTGGACATTAGGAAAAACTTCCTGTCAGGGTGGTTAAGCACTGGAATAAATTGCGTAGGGAGGTTGTGGAATCTTCATCATTGGGGATTTTTAAAGAGCAGATGAGACAAACACCTGTCAGGGGTGGTCTAGATAATACTTAGTCCTGCCATGAGTGCAGGGACTGGACTAGATGACCTCTCGAAGTCCCTTCCAGTCCTATGAATCTATGTTGTTGTATCATTGGTCTTTGTTAATTTGACCTTGGACACTTTGGGTCACAGGCCCTGCTCCTGCAAAGACTCATGCGTGTGCATAACCTGTTCCATGATCAGGGCCTAACTGAAGGCTTGTGGGAGGCATTGTGTGTGTTCCTGCTATTTATTAATATCAGGAAGGCCACCAGTATGAGTTTTAATATTAGGCCCCAATCCTGCAACTACATCCAGGCAGATGGACCCCCAGGCCTGTGTGCAACCCCACTGAAGTCAATGGGCCTCCATGTGGACATAGTAGCAGAATCAGGGTTTAATTACATAAATAGGTCTAGCTTAGAACAGTTTATGACAGCTCTGCCTCTGCCACCCAGAGAGTAATTAAAAAAACCCAAAGGAAAACAAACTGCCGCAATTAACAAAGATTCGGTTGTGAAAACCATAGGGAACAATGAGTCAATTCTCCAGAGAGACAAATGTTACTTGAAATAATTTTTTCAGTTAAAAAACTAATGAAAATAAAAAGAATCCACCTTCCCGAGACTATACTTAATAGCATGCATTAATCACACACATACAGCAAAGCTGGTAAATGTAATGTATTTCCACTTTGCAAATAGTCTGTTTGAGGAAGTTTTATTTTATTTGGGGTTGGATAAAAAACTACCATGTTTAGCTGTTGATTGGTATTAGTAAACTATGGTTTATGTAATAAACAGATTGATTTATACCCCCCTCCGAAAACCCCAAACCATCTAATTACCTTAACTGGCATATTGTCTGACCTGAAAAAACAATGCTCTTCACATAGAGTAGGAACATAGACACTTTGAAAACTGTATATTAAAACGCTAATAGATTTTCATCACAGCCACTAATAGAATTTCATTCCTTGGGTACTAGGGCATTGGGTGCCTTAGGAATACATAGTAATAGAGCAATAATCCAATACACTGACATGCCAAACAAATGGAAACTACAGTACAACCTCTCTGTCGCACTCATGATGAGAAGAGATTTTGCAGTTTAAAGAATATCGGCCCAGTCCAACTCCAGGGGGACTTGTATCGGACCCTGGGTGACTATTTAGGGATACCACATTAAACAAATGTCCTGCAGAATAAGTTTGTCCTCCTAATCAAAACATTATCTGGATCTGTCTTAGATTATGAATTAAAAATATTGGAGTCTATTTCTAATCATTGAGTCTTCCCTCTTCATTATCAAAACTAATGACTGCATGGTGAATAAGCAGCCTATTTGGTTTTTGAATTCACAGAGCCTTCATAATAAAATTTGAAAACGTCTTTAGATATAATTAAGCTTGAGTGTAGCCGTTTTAATTGTCAAAGCACTAATTAACTTTTGCCATCTTCCTATGGTATTACCTTCTCTGTTTTAATGATGGGGAAAGTGAGGCAGAAAAATTAAGTGATTTACTCAAGACTGGAAAGAATTTGTGGCAGAGTCCCTTATGCACAAAGACAATGGCAGAATGGCAAACCATATTGGATAAAAACCCACCCAAATCAAAGAGTCTCTAGGACTTAAATATATACAGAGTTCTCTCTCACACCCACCGAGTGCAAAACTTAGTTGTTATTTCCTATGTAACTGTTAACTATTTTCTGCCCTACTGTTATTCATGACCTACTAATTCTTTATATTAACGTTATCTGTAATCCCAGCAATGACCATATTATCCTACACTTTGGGCTCACAGCCCGTTTTGATTTTGTGATCTACTGTTTCTACAATATATGTTCACGTTTCAGCGAGTGCTTGAAGGGAAATATGACATCTGCACAACATCTATTCTACTGTTTGCCTAAGAAACCCTCAAAACTAAATTAAAGCAGCTAAGAGCTCAACTGAACTGCATTCAAGCAACTGGCAGATTCTTAAAGCTAGAAAGAAGCATTCAGTAAGGCTGACCCCCTCCCACCCCCCAGCATTCGGTGAACCTCAAAGAGAGCATGAGATAGCAAGAGCACTTCATTAAAAGCAGGGTAGGCTTGTAGGTTTTTTAAGAGAATGAGAGTATAACCGCTGAAAGTCACCATGAGCAGAGCACCAAGACACAAGCAGTTCATGGAAAAGAAAAATAATTTTTGGAAAGGGTTGCTTTATTATGCTCTGGTTTTGATTTGATTTTTGTTGTTCTTGTTACCTGGGGATCTGTAAATAATAGTCCTGTATCTTTGTGTTGTATTATTGCTGCGTTCCCAGGAATATTCCTCGCCAGCACTGGAACATCTAAATCCATTGCCTAAAGAATGTGGATAAAAAAGACGATTTTGTTAGTCAGGGTTCATTTTAAGAGGAGTTTGTGGTGAGAAATAATAATAGTCATAGTAAGAAACCTGCCGCAAAAACTGCTTCTTCCCACCCCCAAGTAAAAAAAAGTAAAACCCAAAAGACGGTTCCAAGCATGGAGGAGGGCAGCTGGCATAAGCTAATACAGCCTCTAACAGTAATTTTATCAGATTCCTCCAGGAGTTCTTTCTAACTTTATTTTTATTGTTTTTATATAAAATATAAACTCATAATGAAAAAAATAAACTTCCATGCACACAATATAAGTAGCCTATAAATAAAATAAATTCACTGTTCATTGTTTGCAAAACCTGGAAAGAAACAAAACACAAACCAAATCCTGAACCTGTAGAGATCATGCAGGGCATCAATTATTAAAGTGACTGCATGGATAAATAAGTGAGAACATAACCTATGACTATCGGGGGGCTAATATGTACTAAACTGCAAAAGTATGCAATAGTTTCATGTGTGATCAGACATCCTCAGATTTGTTCTAAGCGTTTCTATTAGACAGAGTCATTTTTTCCATTAATGCAGTAGTAGAGATCTCACTAAGCAGGCCTGTGTATGAGGGAGGAATTGCAGATTTTCTCAAAATAACTCTTTTGGCCACTAAAATAGTTACTGCAATCCAGGAGTTTTTGTGGGGAAGAATCTGGCCCATTCCTTCAACACCCACAGAGTCCCCAAGGCCAGGCTTTTGAGAAGTCAGGTAGCATGTTGCAAAAGCAGAAATGCCCTCCCCTTATGTGGCTGCAGACTCCCTTCTATATACGCATATGTGGGGGCGCATGAAGCCTCAAGATGGTTCTCATATCATTTCAGGCTGTCTGTAGATTCAGGACCATAGATAAAGCACTGCATCAGTTCACTTCCAGTAAATCGTCTCCATTATAAAGAGAAGGGCTAGAAACTTTGGAACGAAAGTACAGAAACCAGTGTGTAAGCCCCAGTCACCCCAGGAAAGTCCCTGCCCACCGCCTACTCATGCATTTGTCAAGTCCCAATGTGAAATTTTAATTACCATTCCTGGATTTGGAAATCTTGAAATTCGCAAACCCTGAATGTATAACTGTTCCTCTTGTACAATTATCACAGTGTCAAACAGAAAGAAATTCACTCTCCAAAATGTTCAATCCATTTCATACTGATTCACTGTCACTTTGGAGAGAACACATTTCTAATTACTGTCATTACAGTCTCTGATGGGGAGCAATTTTCCTTCAGCATGAGTAGCATAGAAAAAAAAAAAAGCTAAGGGGGGGAAGAAATAAGGAAGAAGAACACTTCTTTTGTTTTTGAATCTGGACAAGACTTGATACCCCAACCACTAGCGTACAAAGCCAAGTGCGAGTTAAGGGTAAAGGGATGCAGTAGCCTAGCAACATGCATTCACAGTTTAAAATATCCAAGGTAAACATAGTTTACACTGTACCACTGTAGAGAAAGTTGCCCTAGACATACAAATCCCGTCCTCCTCTTGATGCTAACGTGCTTTTCAGCAGATAGCTCAAAAAATAATAATAATAATCCGTAATGACATACCCGTTCTAGCCTTTATACCAGAAAATAGTGAGCCAACTGGAGGCAATTCAGAGCAACAGATTGATGAGAAGAAATTAAATGGTCTAACTAGCTTGGATAAATGAGTAAGGACCAGATTTATGTAGGGATTTAGGCACCTAGAGCTGTAAACAGGTGTCTAGGGCGATTTTCAAAAGTGAAAGTCAATGAGAGTCAGGCACCTAGCCCACTTAAGTGCTTTTGAAAGTCTACAGAATTAGGTGCCTAAATACCTTTGTAAATCTTGTCCTAAGCACATATGTATTTATGGTGGGGGATATGACAACTGTCTCCAGATATGTGAGCAAGGTAACCACTAGAGATGGGCTCAAGACACTGATACAGACCTAGATTGTCTGATGCCTCTGTTTTTTTATGCTGTGGCCCTCAAGGCCAGGATTCAGAAGTAAGGGACTACAGGTTGCTGCTTCTTTCAGACAACCACCTCAGCAATTAACATTTTGGAAGACGGGGGAGGGTCCCGAAAAGCTTCCTATCCCCCTGAGGATTACAAGGCCTTAGGGAACATTGCTTTCCCACCTGGTTAGAACAGAACAAGTACCAAGAGCACTATCAACTTAAACAGACAGGCTCACAGTGAAATATGGTGGGCTCTAGAATGAATGGGTGGGTTCCCTGTCTGAACTAGCTAAGTGACAGGAAAAGTCATCTCTCAAATCTATGAAAGCACCACCACAAGAGCAATATGACTAGCTGACAATGGACATATTTTAAAAATATATATAACTCTTAGGGTCCAGTTCTACACTGACTTACGCCCCATGGATTTCAGTGGGGAGATATGCACAACACAGTACTTGGCTCTCTGAATTTTATATTTCTCCTTCACTTTAAAAAAAAAATGCTGTGGTACTAGGGTTACCATACGTCCGGATTTTCCCGGATATGTCCGGCTTTTTGGGCTCCAAATCCCCGTCCGGGGGGAAATCCCAAAAAGCCGGACATGTCCGGGAAAATCGGGACATGCGGGGCCGGCGGTGCTGGGCCGGGGGCCGGCGGTGCCAAGCCGGGGCCGGGGGCACCGAGCCGGGGACCGGGCCGGCGGTGCGGTGCTGGGGTGGGGGCCGGTCCGGCGGTGCTGAGCCGGGGGCCGGGCCGGCGGTGCCGAGCCAGCTGCCGGGCCGGCGGTGCCGAGCTGGGG